ACATCCAGATAAAGTTTGTGACACAGCTGATTATTTAGTGTGCCTACCTGCAGGTTGGCCTTTCTGAAGCGGTCGTTGAGCAGCTCCATGTTGCCCTGCTCCTCCTCCAGCTCCTCCTCCAGCTGGGTGATGCGAGCCTCCAGCCTCCGCTTCTCCTCCAGCAGTGACGACCTGACGCAGAGTTTCTATTAAATTTCTACTGATTTACAGCGATTGTAAGACTATAAAACAAACCATTTAATCCCTGAGGGGCACATAAAACCTGGCTAATTATTAATATGAAGTTTGGAAAAACTACATGTTCATACTGACTTTCCAGAAGCACTGCTGGAGATCTCGTCAGCCAGCTCATCCCTCTCCTGTTCAGCATGTCGACGGGCCCTCTCTGAAGCTGCGTGGTCCTGCGCAGACACACACACACACAAGATCATTTAGCATTTCAGACGTTACACACAAATAACTCTGATTATCACCACAAAAGGCGAAAATCAGAACTTCACCTCCTGAAGCTGCAAGATTTCAGCTTCCAGACTCTTGAGTTTCTTCTCGTTCTCCTTGGACTGCGCGAAGATCTCATCCCGGGAGGCTCGGGCCTCCTCCAGCTCCCTCTGGTAGTCTTTCATCTGAGCCTGCAGGAGCAGCAACGTGATACGGACCAGCTTAGAGACTGAGATAATTGAAAATCAGGACAGACACTAAGCAAACATTTGCGTACCTGTAGTTTCCGGAGCTGTTTGATGGCCTCGTCCCTGCCTTTGTTGGCAGCTTCGATCTGACCCTCCAGCTCGTTCAGGTCCATCTCCAGCTTCTTCCTAGCTGCCACAGCCACAGATCTCTGCTTCCTCTCGTCCTCCAGCTCCGCCTCCATCTCACGTACCTGCAAGAAAAAAACAACTTAATGCAAACACTGTCATTCTGATGATGTAAATGAAGATACACAGCACATTAAAAATGTGGCGTCAGTCCTTCAGGATCATCGGCCACTTTGTACCTGTTTGACCAGCGCTCTTTTCTTCTCCTCGCCCTGCTCGTCTCTGGCCTGCAGGTCACGGTCAAACTGAGCCTTCATGGCTTGCATGTTGACTTCCAGACGGAGTTTGGCATCTTCTGTGGCCTGCAGCTCATCCTCCAGCTCCTCCAGCTGTGTTCTCATCTCCTCCACCTGCTGCTCCAACGTACGCTTGGACTTCTCCAGCTCATGGACCTGTGAGCAGCCAGAGGAGTGACAAAAATGTGACACAGCTGCACAATAAACTTTCAGGTATTTCTGACATGTAAACATATCTTAATCTGCAGTGTCACCGGAGAGGTCAAAAGGTTACTCACATTCTTCCCCACATCATCCTTGGAGCTCATCAAATCCTCCATTTCAGCACGAAGTTGTTTGTTAAACCGCTCCAGTTCTTCTTTGGCCTCCAAGGCCTCCTCCAGAGCTCTGGCCATCGACAGAGCCTTGGTCTCCTTCTCTCTGGCCTCGGCCTCAGCGCGATCGCGCTCCTCAGCGTAACGAGCAGAGATGGTCTTCTCCTCAGCCAACATCTAACATAGATAACAGAGCCTTCATTACACTGAACAAACCGTAAGAGACCTTCAATATCTCATCTCTGTTTGATCTCCGGTACCTGGTCAAACTTCTTTTGCTTCTTTTCCAGATTGGACACGATCTGTCTCTGGAGGTCCAGTTCCACCATCTGGTCATCCAGCTCCTGCTGCAGTCGGTTTTTAGTCTTCTCCATCTTGTCCAAAGACATTGTCTTCTCCTCCAGACGCTGGTTGGTGAGCTCCATGTCCTTCTGGAGTTTCCTCTTCACCTCCTCCAGACCCTCCATTGCTCCCACATCCTCCTCCAACTTCTTCTTTGTCTCAAACAGCTACAAAGACATTTTAAAAATATTTGTGACGTGACCTTTGGTGCCCCATCAGTGTGTGCTGGAGAGATAATCAGCTGAGGTTCACCTGCAGATGCTGAAGATGCTAATAATAGTTTTATTAATTATTAATCCGAACCACATGTTTTGAAGTGACTCAGATTTTCTCTTCATTTATCTGTGAAGCCTCACTGAGTTACAGCTGTCTGCATGCTGTGCTGCACCTTAGCGACAGGTGCTCACAGCAGGTAAACAGCTGGAAACGGTTGCCGGGCCCTTCTCCTGGCACTCGGCTTCAGCGGTACCTCGAAGGTGTTTCTGCCTGACTGGTTTGTGTGCGTCAGATGTGCCCTACTGTGAATATGTACCTGAGCCTGCACGCTCTGCAGCTGTTTCTCAAGGCTGCGTCGTGCCTCCTCATCCTCTTCCTGCTGCTCCAGCAAGTTGTTCTTATCCGCCTCCAGCTGGCGGATTTGGCCGCTCAGGTTCAGCTTCTGACGCGTCTCCTCCTGCCGCAACTCCTACGCGCAAAAACCACGATCAGAAACGATGGTCAAAAGACAAACGAAAAGCAGTTACACCTGTTTTAGTCTTAATACGCTGATACTTTAGCAGAGGCTGTCCTCGTTGAATATGTGTGAGAAATACAGAAGCGAAAGCTGATTGGCTTCACTAGAAAGCTTAATGTTGATTAACATGAGGTCTGTCTAAAAAGCACAAACACATCACCAGCACCCAAAAGTATTAAACTATTATTATACTTTAAAGTTTTTTTGAAATTAGTTTTTATTTCTTTCTCAAGTCAGTTCAGGTTTATTTAGCTTCAGTATCTGTTTTACTTTTCAAAACTGTAATATGGACGTATTTGTCATTTTTTGATAACAGGTATATAAACAATTTACTTGTCTTAAATGTTTTTGTGGTTTTATTTCTGCTTAGTTTTAATTAACCATAATAATCTTGCTCCACAGAGGATTTATCAGGTAAAATGATGATTTCTGAAAACGTCTCCTGCAGCTCTAAAATCATTCAGGCAGAAACGTCGACGCTGATGGTCTTTCGTACCTCAGAGTCTTGCAGTTTGCTGTTCAGGTTTTCAACTTCTTTAGCCAGTTTAACGCCCTTCTTCTCTGCCTCCTCCAGCAAAGTAGACACGTTGTCCAGCTCCGTCTGACAAACAAATGGAAACACATTAAACAAAACTTTCCCTTAAAAAAGAAAAAGGAAAATCAGTCCCAACAACGAGTTGGCATTTACCTGGAGCTTGTGGGAGCGCTCGGCCAGCTCTCCCTTGGCTCTCTCCACCTCGGTGGCCCTGGCCAATGACTCCTGCAGCTGAGCCTCCAGCTTCTTCCTCTTGTGCTCCGACTCAGTCTTTGCCTGCTGCAGAGCCTTCACTTCACAGACCAGCTCTTTGTTGTCATTCTCCAGGCACTGCTTGTTCTTCTCCAGGTTGGCCTTGAACTGCACAGATCAAATAAAAATAAAAAAGCTTTTAGTGACACGTATGAAGGTAAACTGAAGACCTTAAAGGTTAGAAAGGTTTAAGCGGCTCACCCTCTTGGCCTGCTCCAACTGTTCGGACAGTTCCTCGAGTGTTGTGGCGTGCCTCTGCCTCATGTCCTGGATCTGAGCCTCGTGGTTTTTGGTCTCCTCGTCAATGGCCTTCTTCAGCTCTGCCACCTCCAGCTCTCGCTTGCTCCTGGAGATCATCCACGTGGGAAACAGTTAAAAACACAGGACTGCATATAAAGATGGACGCAGACTGAAGTCTATAGAACAGATAGTGCTACCTGACGTATAACAACTGTGAGGTTCACTTTATCATCATTGATAAATGAGCATTAATGAGCACCTGAGTTCCTGCTGGGCGGCCGTGGTATCTAGTGTGTCCTCCAGCTCAGTCTTCAGAGCTTCCAGCTCCTCACTCAGGTCTCTCTTGAGTTTCTCAGCTTTACTTCGACACATCTTCTCAGACTCCAGATCCTCCTGAAGCTCCGCTATTTGCGCCTGCAGCTCCCGAATCTGCTTCAAAGCGTTGTTCTTTTGCACAGACTCCTCATCACACCTAGTTGGAGACCCACAAACGCATGTCAGTTTTTCCAAGAAGGTCTTAATCAGAGAATTCAATCAAATTCAAACATTTCCTCAAACCTTCAACTGATGATCTGCATCTCTACATTTCCTTTTTTCTCTCTATATCACTTTTGTATCTTCAATTCAGACATCATTCAGAAGACATTAAACAGACTTCCTCACTCAAACATCCTTCACTGCTCTTTACACTTTACGCAATTTAGATCCTTAGCATTTATTGTTTTCATGCTCGTAAGTGTGCAAGGCCCCTTTTTGGGTTCGAGTTCAGTAAATTTCATCATCACAGGATGAGTTTGAGGGTCCAGGTAGATGTTATTTTTCCTGTTGGTGCAGACACAACACTACAATGAACCGACATGTATGCAGACGTCAAACAACGACAGTGACGCAGCAGCTCATCGCAGCAAAATCCACTGGTTAATGTAATGTGTGAAGTACTGAGTGAAAGCAATAATTTTTCTTGTCAGTGGTTTGCTGTTTCGCACCAACTGATGAGCTGGAAAGTCCACTGAGAGCAACAAATATGACCAAATATGACTGTGTGCAGAGTTTGATTGAGGAAAAAAAAACATGAAGTGAATTCAATGAAAGGTAAGTCCCTGCTGTCCTTTCAAGGCTGAGATAGCCACCTGTGCACACATGGTGGCAGTGTGGCAAACTGTTTACAGCTGAAGCTGTGTGTGAGTATGTGTGTGTGTTCCTCATCAGAAGAGGAAAATGTGATGGGACTGCTGATTTGTTTGCAGCTGGATGTGCGTCCAAGTAAACCTCGTGCTGGCTGCAGCGTTCCTGCGACATTCCTCACTAATGTACAAATCTGCTGATTAAACACACTGAAAGTCAAAATGATTCAGTTTTATAATTAACACAGTGAGACCGCTTTGATTAAAAGCACTAATGACTCCCATATAATTGCAATGCTCCGTTTTCCAATCTGTCAAAGATGACAGGATTGTTCTCAGAATAGCTGCTGAACTCAAAATGAAGCACATCAGCTTTAATGAAAGCCTAATTATGTGCGGCTGTGACTAAACCGATGATTTCTGTGTGTGGAATTGGTCGGGCAGATGTTTACCATCAAACCCCGTGTCTGCTGAACGGAGGGGAGCACTGAGAAGTCCCATTAAAGTGATCAGAGCTGACCTTCAGAGGAAAACGCCTCCACAGCTGTTTACCTCATTAGCAGTTTTATGAAGGATAAATATGGAAAACAAATCAAACATAAAAGCAAATGTGGACATTTAACTGCTGTGGAAAATAAATACATAAAGAAAATATTTAGCTGGAGGTTAGATGCAAACAGTACCAGGTGGAGGAGATGCAACATCTAAAGTATGAGAAGCTAATATTCACTCCATATGACTCATGATCCATCTTAAGAGAAGACAGAAACTCTGGAGTAATATTAACAGAATATATCCATCTGCCTGTGTGATAAACAAACTCCGTTTTGTCTTGTGTGGTATCATGTGCTTTAAGAGTTGTTAAAACATGATGACAGCCCGTTTTTGCTCTTGACTCCTTGTGCACGCAGCGCATCAATCAACATCAGTGTGCCTGTAATCAGACGCGGCTGCCCTGAGACGAAAGGACCGAGCCGCCGTCGCTTGAGGAAACGCCTCAGAGCGCCTGAGTGCTGAAGCACGTTCGCCGCTTTAATTTCACAGTTGCACGTGTGTCTGTTATTGAATGGCTATTTCAGTCTAACGATGGAGTGCTGTTGTCATGGAAACGGGAAGCAGTGCAGTATAGCTGCGCGTGAGGATTTCTGTTCCTGAAATGAGCAGCACTATCAGTTACACATTACCACGCAAGCGTAGGTTTGCAGAGAGCAGCTATAAAAATACTTCAGCAAAAAGTTGCTTTTTTTTTTTTTAATGTGGCAAAAAAACAAAATCGCGAGCTTTGTTCTCAAGCTGACTCACTGCTGCTGAGCTGCACCTCTCAGTAAATCTTCATATTGGTTTTTTAAAAATATTTTTTAAGAGGCGGTTTTGTGCTGGGACACTGTTTACGTTTCGTGGAGGTTGTGTGACACACTCATTTTAATGTTTGCCACTGACCTGGCCAGAGCAGCCTGTAGCTCCTCCTCCTTTTTGGCCAGCTGGATCTTCAGCTCCTCTATCTGTGCCTGAAGCTCCGCAATCTGGTCCTGCAGGTCGGTCGTCTCGGCGTCCAGCTTTCGTTTGGCTTTCTCCAGCTCCTGACGCGTTTTCTCTTCTTTCTTTAAACGCTCTAAAGGGAAGCACAACCACATGGAATATCAGCACGTTTCACAAACACAAATACAAACGTGGTCACTGATCATAACAAACTTTCTGTTTGGAGTTAAACTTTTTTGTTTCATCACTGAGTAAGCTCACAAGTTATGCAGCAGCCATATATGCATATGCAACATCGTGTAGCACTGGAAATGATCCTGGCTGAGAAAGGAGGATTGTGCGTCTTATTCAACACCACATGCTGCACTTACATACCAGATAATGTACATTCTTTAAACATGGCTTCAGATTATAAGGAGACTGTTAATCGGCGTTGGAGTTTCCCTGGTTTTATTTAGCTTTTCTTTACTTGTGTTATTCCTTGTTTAAAAGCTGTAATTTCACAGATGATAAGTTTATCACTCACAGCATATGCAGATGTACCACAAACCGATGAAGATTATGAAGAGTTCTTTTCCTATTTGATAGATGAAGATGAAGTGCAACTAATGATGTAGTGACTGAAAATGTGAAAGACAAGTAGTTACTTACTGATAACATGTACATTTCATTTTCTGATCTTCAGGAGGGAATGTCAGGAGAAATTTTATATAGTGTGATCAGCGTCATGAAATGTGTTTTTTATTGATCACTAAGCAAATGTCTACGTGACTTTTGACATGAACTCTTGTGTGATAAACAACTAACAGCTTCCTCTTTCTGTAAGAACATGCAGACTCCAGCTCTGAGTTCTTAGAATAACTCTGTTATCTTTGTACACACACACACAGACACAAGCTTGTATAAATAAAGAACGCAGACGGTGATACAGCGCGAGTCCGTGAGTGCTAGAGGTGGGAATCACCATACATCCCACGATACGATATTATCACAATACTTAACGCACGTTACGATATTATTGCAATTTTTAAAAATATTTTGCAATATTCAGATTCTGTACATAAAGGTAAACTTTATCAATATTCATTTAATCTAATATCAAAGTCTCACACTCAGTCTTTCTCTCATTTCAGTCAGTTTTATTGTTGACAAACTGAACGGTTTGTATTACAGTCTAGTCCAACTTAACTGAATGCAACCATCTGGTACAATTATAGCTATTCTGAACTATGAAATTTATGAAAACTATGCAGCCCATTCAACAACTGAAGAATTTGAAAGTAAATTAAAACAAAATATAATTTTACATTAAATAAAAATTTTAAACTTAATTAAAATAAAGCATGTCTTAAATTAAAATAAGTAAACTGTCATGTTTATTGCTGCCAAAAAAAAAAGTTAAACACATTTGGACAGTGAAGGAATGTCAGGATTCTTCCTCAGAAAAAGGATCAACATGCTCTGAAGTCAGAGCATGTTCCAGTCCACAAAAACTTTTTTGTAACAACATATCGATTTCTGCTGTCCCTGTATCGATACATTATTAGCAAACAAAATATCACGATACTACACAGTATAGATTTTTTCCCCCACCCCTAGTGAGTGCCTCCTGCGAGGAAGAGCACTCTATGACCGTCCTCGCGAGTAAAAGACAACTGCAGTGTTTGTGTTTTCTAACTCAGGTGTCTCAGCTGAAGAAATGCGGGGTGATTTTTAGAAATCCCCTGTCACAAGGAAAAGGCTATTTAGAAAGTGGGAAAACACACTCATGTAATCATATTAGCTGCCAATTAACTTGCTGTACAGTTGTAAACACTAAATCATTAACAGTCATACTGCGTGTCCCAAATGACCTCTGTGCTGTTCTATTTTTATTAAGTTTGGAACTTGCTGGCTTATTTAAACTCCAACACCCCCGTCTACCCTTTACACACAGCCCTGTTTTGTGTGTGTCCTGGTAGACATTTTCTATTTTTGGACCCCACACGGAGCCGGTAACAGCCTGCTAGTAGCATCTTACCCTCCAGGTCAACCATCATCATCTCCTGCTTGTTCTTGACCTTGCCGAGATTCTTTGCTTTTTCCTCCTCCTCAGTCAGCTGGGAGGTCATCTCGGCGATCCTGTCCTCCAGCAGCTTCTTCTCCTGTTGGGTTAAAAAAACCAAAAACATCAAGACTCAAGATCTGCAACTGCTGTATAAACGCGAAAAAGGTCTCAGTACTTTATTGCCAGGGGGTCAGTCCATGGATACTACTGAAATACTGAGAGCCTCCAAACAAATCCCCACAATCAAGTCAATCAAATAATACAGCAGTTGCCTCAAGGCCTCTACAATAATACAGAGGAAAAACAACAATCAGGCGACCCCCTGTGAGCAAGAATTTGGCGACAGTGGGAAGGAAAAACTCATTAGTTTTACTTTAATACTGTTTTGCAGGCTGTTTTCCCATCATTATTTTTAATCTCACTTATCTTTTACTGGGCCTCAGATTCTCCCCTCTTAGCTAACCCGATGTTTCAAACAAACTTTCTTCTGATTGTCTGCCCCTCTCAAAAAAAGACAGAGAAAGGATTAAGAGGCAGGCGAGTGATGCCTGGAGCTGTGTGGCTGAGATAATGATGAGATGGTAGTGGCTCTCTCTCAGTGACATAATTCAAACCCAAAAGTAGAAACAAATATCTGAAACTGAGTGTTTTATCTTTCAGCTCATTCTTTGAAACTTTGGCCGTGTTTAACATGAGCATCCACCACTGTGATCATATATACAGGTTCCCTGTGGTGGTATTTAGAGGCCTGACACTGGAAACTAAACCTTTGAGTTACAGACTTCTCTCTCTGCACACATTTAAAAGTTTGGTTACAGACCAAATTGATTGAAACGTAAGTAAACAGCTCTCCACACACATTTATAAACTGCAGAATAACATTCCAATTACCAGAATCTAGTATAATAAACTGTAATCACTGACTGAAAAATTGCAGGACCTTCTACTTTATCTGAGTTGCATCATTACACTTTACTTTGAGGAGGAACAGTCATGAACTTCAAAGTATTATTAACTGGTGGGACTATAACCAACACCATCTATTAACTGTGCCACACAGCTAACCATTTCCTCTATTTAGCTTTGTGATGAGATTAGAAAGCAGATGGTAGACAGCAGCACCCTTCATTGCACAGGCTGCTATTGAAGGTAGCAGGCGACGTGTCACCGTCAGGCAGAGGAAGAGCTGCAGCCGACGCTAATCAGTTTTAAGGCCTTCCTCAGTCTGAGTTTGTACTTGTTTGTGTCCAGCATCAGGCCCGTGTTCACTTATTAAGAAGTCTGTAAAAACAGACTTCAGTTTCTAAATGTTTCGCTCAGATGTTTAAAGAACAGCATACAGTGTAATTTACTGCTGTCTCTGATGTTCACTGAATTAACATGAAGTTTTATACAACATGTCTTGTTCACTCATTCACACTAGCAGCATTCTATCCATCTTTCTATCTAACACTTACACTCTGATGAACAGGTTCAACATCTTGGCTAGAACAGCCAGCGCTACCAGTCTTCTGATTAGTAGACCACATGTTCTACCTCCTGAGGCACAGACATCCCTAATTCAGCTTTAATAACTGACTTGAATGTTGTCAAACAACCTTCATGGTATTTGAAAGGAAGCCTTCCGTCTTCCTTACAGCCTGTTTGTGTATTTAACTCTGTGACATGACTGCAGAGTAGTAAAACTGTATTTACCGATAAGCCTTTAATGATTCCACCTTAAAGAGCTTCCTCTACTTTCTGGGTTTTGTTCGAACCTTCATTTTCAGATAAAATTGCCTCACCTTGAGAAACTTGGAGTTTTGGTCCTCCAGCAGCAAAATGTCTTCCTCCATTTTCTTGATCTTCGACTCAGCGGTCACTTTGTCCAGCTGCAGTTTTTGTCTTGCAGCTTCCTCCTCATCCAGCTGCTCCTCCAGGTCCTGTAGGAAAAACACGGCACACAAACATTTGTAACATGAAGATGGCAAAATCTGCAGTTTCCATACAGATGGAAGTTTAACACACTCATTTCTTTAAAGCCCAAAATCACAACCACATCTGTACAGATTAAATATTTATGACCAAGTGATCTCGAAGGAAAATAGGAAAAAAACATCCTCATTTTTAATGCTTCAAGTCACTTTAGAGTTAATCTGCTTCATCGGCTTCTCTGGGTTTCATCCAATATACAAACTGAACAACACAAACAAAAGAGATATCACATTTAAAATAAGGTTAAAAAATAAAAACAAGGAAAAGTGTCTTTAGGATCATTTAATATTCAAATGAAAAAAATCATCTTTCACAAACAGATGATGGGTATGCCGACTTCAGTATTTGAAACTTAATGAGCATCCACCATTGTTACAGTGTAAACGCTTAGCTGGGTGTTGAAGCATCAAATAGAAAAATGAGAGAAGGTTGTGTTTCAAACTATATAAAGAGGAGATGATGTAAACCTGGATGTGCGACTGCATCTTCTTCTTCTCATTCTGCAGGCTCTGGTTCCTCTCCTCCTCCTCCTCCACCCTGGACTCCAGGTCGTGAAGGATCTCCTCCAGCTCTTGCTTCCTGGAGAGGAGACGAACTCTCATCTCTTCAGCCTCGGCGAACAGCTCCGTCTCTGCGTGGAGCTGCTCTGCTAAAATATTCTTCTCCTCGAGGAGCTGGACAGAAGAAACAGTTCAGAAAATGTGTACCACCTTCACGGCTACAAGTCCTTCCAAAAACTATGAACGTGCAATTTCCCTGAAGCCGTTATCAATAGATTTTAATAAATTATAATTCAGGAGAAAGATTTACTAATAAGTTGAGATATTTTTACCTGCTGGTGTTTCCTCTCCATCTCCACCAGCTCATTTTCCACCTTAAGTTGCCTCTCCTTCACTTTTACCAGCTCCTCGTCTTTGGCTTGCAGCTCCTCCTCCTGCCTGGTGACCTGCAGCAGCGGCTTCACCTGAGTGAGAGAGGAACAAAATTAGACACAAAAATGTTTTTCACGGTCATACTGGCCGGTTAATGGTAGAAAGCCAGTAGTTTTACTATAGCGAGTAGCATTTTTCTTATTATCAGCACTTTCCTGCCATATGTAATTATTCCCTCTAATGTAATTAATGGATTAACATGATTAGGACCAAGACGAGTTATATCAAACAGACTGACAGACTGTTTGGATTAAGAAATTCTGCCAGAGAAATCTGAACACTGATTTGTGAAAAAGTAGGGCCTTAGGGCTTTAGCAGAGTTGGAGGGCTGATACGAGCGATATAAGAGCCATCTTTTGCTGTCAGAGGTTGGTGTCGTGGTTCTCACCTTGGTGAAGAGTCTCCACCACTGCCAGTGTCGCAGCTTCAAATAAGCAGCACAGTTCCTCTGCAGGACCTTCAGGGCACTCAGCTGCTGCTGCTTCTTAGCAAAGGCTCTAAGAGAACAAAATGAGAGATCAATATCTGAGCTTTTTTGTTTTTGTTGCACTATAGCCGAGCGACATCAGTTGACCACTTTTTTAAAATAATAATTTGTATGTTAGGGTGCACTGACATATCACCACCTTTCCGGTTAAAAAAACAAGACTGTAAGTACAGGTATGTGGTTAAGAGTGCAACTTTGTGCTGAGCAGTGCATGGTGTGTTTTTGGAGCCTCCTGCAGCCTAAAGCAGAATGTTATGTTTCAGCAATGGTGGCATGTTTGCTCTCCACTGGCACTTCGGGGATGTCCCGTCTGCAGAGAGGGAGTCTACAAAGTATGTGTTACAACCGGCCTGTGGGCTACTTGTGTTTGTGCTGTTGTTGGGCCGTCAGCCAGCCGCGGAGAAGAGCGAAATGTTAAGAACAGTTAACAGTGTCCACTGCAGCCACTGTGTGTGCCTCTCATGTTGTATCTTCTGATCTTTGAAGTTTTTGATTTTTTCACAGTTCTTCCATTCCCGGTGAGCTTCCATTCTCCCTTCCTTATTTCGGAGCATTTACTCGCTGTCTAACGCTCCCTAAAGCGGAAAAGCTTTCCAGCTCTATTACCAAGAGTTACCTAATTAAAATGGTCTCATTTTCCAGCTGCGCATTTCATCATTGTAATTTAGACATGAATAATAACAGAATAATAATAGTGGCGCTTCTTCTTTTGCGCAGCAATAAAAACGATGACCTGCACATCACTTCTATTTGATTTTCTTAATATGTTGAATACCCCGGGCTTAATAAAACATGACAGAATATTTTGAAGCATTAAGATAAACATGCAATCAAACACCACAGACACATTTACACTTGCTGAACCAGTTGCCTCAGACCACCATGGGGGCTGGTTTGAGCAGCTGGATCTCTATCCCAAAGTGCATTCTGGGTATCAAACCTTTACACTTGTTCTCACCACAGAAACTCAAAAATATAGGCTCTCCAGGGAGTCGTAAAAACTAATACACTGGGGTACAAGAAGCCGCTAGAGGCTCTGATTGATTAAGCATGTGACAGGTGACTTACTAGCAATACTACAAGGAGGTCAGCCAGAGAGTACAGGAAAGGAAGGGGGGTGCAAACGACCGAGTATTGTAGACTGTAGGATGTAAACTATCATATGGGAATAACCCATATGTAGCAGCACATACAGCGATATAAAGACTCACTTGCGGGCTAAGTATCCACGGCACACGGACTGGAAGTAGATGATTATGTCAGTGATCTTCAGGTCTCGCTCCTCCTCCAGATGAGCCAGAACACCAGTTCTGAAGAAGATCTTACTTTGACCAATCCGGAACAGGTTGGGGTCCAGCTCCAGGGCTTGGATCTATAAAAGGAACACAATAAGTTGAAGATGAATAAACTGCATGGGCTTAAACAACCTCTACCACAGAGATTAATAGATTTGTTCAGACTCTTTTTTTTTAGCAGGATCAAAGAAAAAGTTACAAACTTTTAACTTTTAGTTTCAGCCTTTTATGGCTGAGGGGTAAAATGAAAACTGGTAGTTCGATGACTTCCAAGAAAATGTCACAAATTTTCAGATCCAGAAATCGTTCTGGACCCAAGAACTCTATTCATATGTGGTGTGGAGTGAATTTTCACTTTCACTTTCACTCACTTTCTCTTGGTTTGAGGTATGTGGCTTGATTTCTTTTGTTTAAGACTTAAAGCTGTTGTATTAATGAGAACTCTTGTCTAGTCAAGTTTAGAAAACATTTAAAAAGACAAATTAACATTTTGACACCCCCTAACAGCCCCTCCAGGTTGACTGTCCAGTCAGTGCTCATCCTGGGCATATTCAAACCTGTAAATGTTTTTGCTTCTGTTTATGAGTTAAATGTAAAGTTTCCTTGAATCACTGTGGACTGAGCCTTGAAGTCTGTTTCACTTTGTTTTTGGATGTGTCAGAAGTGTTCTCCTATCAGCAGTGGTGTATATATCCAACAACCATCACAGGATCAGGAAAGATAGCATTACCATTCTCTCACAGGCTTGTTTCCCATCCATGAAACCCTTGGGGATAGCGTTGGGTGTAAGGATTTCATATCTGTGTGCAAAGAGAACAAAGTGTGAATAAGTGAGTTTTCTTCTTGAAAAGAAAAAAGAAAGAGTTAAAATTTTGTTTACTTGGATGCTCAATTATCCAGGTAAGTAAATCACAAAAGGTTGATTCTGTTCATCTGGGTGTAGCGTTTTTTGTGCTGTGATTGCAGCCGTTCCCCAACTCTCTGTGAATGGTTCTCAGGGCCATTGGTTGATTGATCAATGGTTGTTGATCAGAGGTTGTTGATCAATGGTCATGAC